CATGTGCAATTTAACAGGGAATTCCCTTGTCAGGTAATGAATTTTCCTAGAGAATTCGAAAGCACCTGAGCAACTATACTATTTTTTATTTGCTGATGGTGAAGTGAATAATGTTGAGTAATTCGCTTGAGAAATATAAATGGTAAAATTTCCGCACAGCCCCATACTATTATAAAACAAATCTGAATTCCCAATGGCAGTGTATTATTTTTATCATTGTTTTCTCTATCCAAGAACTGAATGCACAATGTAGTATATAAGTAAAAGGAAAAAGTTTTTGACCCGCCGTGTACCTCTTCAGAAAGCGGACAAGATCAGGGAAGATCAAGTTCAATTAAGTCGTTGTCGTAAAAGTTTACTAACAACAAAACTTGAAAACTTGCTAAATTATGTGAAATTATTTGTAGTTTCCTGGAACAGGAGTATTTTCCAAATGTCTTTACAAGGTTTTTTTTAGGTTCAAAAAAGAAATCAGATTCCATTTAGTCGTTTTCGGTTTGCGTGAAGTCCCCTTAACGTTAAGCTTGAAGACATTGCTGTTTACAAGTAGGTAAGATCGCTGCTACTGTTCGAACGATTTGATGCGTTCAATTTACCTTGACCTTAAGTGTGACATACTTACTTTCACAACTAGACGGCAGATGGCGGCAAATGGCGTCCTGAACAAGATATGGACGACGAGTAGTGCTCGATTGGGCATGCGTAGTAGTATCGAAGTTTGTTTTCCCAACTTCCGGACGGTGAAGTTCACGTTCTCGTCGTCACTAAAGGTCCGAAATGTAAAAGTACGACGAAGCTACCCATGTTTAACAAGTCATTACCAACAATGTTGAAGATAAGGGCCTTTCCGCACTAGCGGACGAACTAGAATTGTTATGCAAATTTTTGTTTCGTCTGTTGCATCCATATGAACAATTTCAAAGCCTTCAAATTCCGTCGGCGCCTGATCTGTTCATAAGACCGGCCAACATAGTTTCCAAAGGATTCCACCTCCAATCTCCAGGATTTATCCCAAGTCGTTTTAAATTTTTTTTAGAATCCCTGAGATTTGCAGCAAATAACAATTAAAGTTTTTCTAGAAAACTGATTTTAGTTCAATTACACGCTTGTCGTAGCTCATACGACAAATGATTGACAAGGTTATCACGGTTGTGTTTATTCAGTCAATTTTGCTAAATTTAAAATTTAAAAATTTTGTCGGCGGTGCGTCTAAAGATTTGTCTGCTTCAGCCAAAATATGTTAAATCGGGACAAACCATTTATACTTATAAAATGTTGATGACAGAAAATTTGTCTGAATAAACAACTTTGTCGTCTGAGCAGAAAGGGCCCTAACTCCACTCATCGTCAACACGGCGCCGTACTCAATTCTTATCAAGAACGACTGTCTGTTGAAATTGTCATGACGATTATCAACTCGAAACGCTAAGCGTGAATAAAAAGTACGAGCGAAGCAAAACTGCTCTTATGAAAGAAGTATTTCCTGAAATGTCGTGCGTAACATTTATATTCTATGTCAATACTGCAAGCGACTCGTATTTACGTAAACAGGACAGCGCGCGTGGGAATTTAACGGGGTCACGATTCTAAAGTGTAATGTGAAACTACTTACTGGAGTTTCAACCTTACTTTTCAAAAGCTTCAAATCGCTGACTTTTGAAACCGTGCTCACGACCGTTAGACCTAAATTTCGAGATTAAGACGGCGATGTACTCCGTTTCGATAGGACGGGTATCGGCGGGATCATAATTTAGCTTTAGTTACGAGTTACTCGACTTCTAAGACATTAAACCCGAGCTGTTTCAAAAACAAGGAAGGAAGAACGGGGAATGGGGAATAGAGAATGAGGAATGGAGAATAAGGAATGGAGAATGAGGAATGGAGAATGAGGAATGGAGAATGAGGAATGGAGAATGAGGAATGGAGAATGAGGAATGGAGAATGAGGAATGGAGAATGAGGAATGGAGAATGAGGAATGGAGAATGAGGAATGGAGAATGAGGAATGGAGAATGAGGAATGGAGAATGAGGAATGGAGAATGAGGAATGGAGAATGAGGAATGGAGAATGAGGAATGGAGAATGAGGAATGGAGAATGAGGAATGGAGAATGAGGAATGGAGAATGAGGAATGGAGAATGAGGAATGGAGAATGAGGAATGGAGAATGAGGAATGGAGAATGAAAAACGAAGAATGGAGAATGGAGAATGGGGGAAAAGAGAACGGAGAATGGAGAATGGAAAAATGGAGGAATGGAGAGAATGGAGAATGGAGAAAGGGGGAATGGAGAATGGAGAATGGGGAATGGTGAATGGAGAATGGAGAGTGGAGAATGGAGAATGGAGAATGGAGAATGGAGAATGGGGAATGGAGAGTGGAGAATGGAGAATGGTGAATGGAGAATGGAGAGTGGAGAATGGAGAATGGAGAGTGGAGAATGGAGAATGGTGAATGGAGAATGGAGAATGGAGAATGGAGAATGGAGAATGGAGAATGGGGGAATGAGAGAATGGGGGAATGGGAGAATGGGGGAATGGGGGAAATTTAGAGATTAAGACGGTTTTAGAGATTAAGACCGTTTCGATAGGACGGCTATCGGCGGGATCATAATTTAACTTAAGTTTCGACTTACTCGACTTCTAAGACATTTAACCAGGACAGAGCTATTTTAAAAATAAGGAACGAGGAATGGGGAATGGGGAATGGGGAATGGGGAATGGGGAATGGGGAATGGGGAATGGGGAATGGGGAATGGGGAATGGGGAATGGGGAATGGGGAATGGGGAATGGGGAATGGGGAATGGGGAATGGGGAATGGGGAATGGGGAATGGGGAATGGGGAATGGGGAATGATGAATGATGAATGATGAATGGGGAATCGCTCTGACGAAGGGATAACGCTCAAAACAAGCAAGCACGCTGACTGTGTTGAATAACAAAAACAAAAATGTGGCTAAGACATGCGCTTTGACGCGCGCTTTTTTTTTTTCTTTTTGTGCAGAACACAATGAAGCTCGCAAAGGTTTTACGTGTGCGTTGGCCATGTACCTCTTAGCTGTACTATACATACATGCATATATCTCTGTCTCACGGGTGCGTAAGCACGAAACTCAGAGTTACTTAATGTTATTTCTTTCTCCTTTAGTTTTAGATTTTCAATTTCCAGATCAAGCGTTACATTTTCTTTTTTAAGGACAGCAAGGTGCAAGTATTGCCAGCATCTGGAATAGTAAAGATGGAATGGTATCAGAATAGATACTGGAGTTGCAATCTAGCTGTGACGCTTCACAGGGGTCTGAGGGTTCACAGGTTTCCGGGAGTTCACAGGTTGAAGTGACAGGCTGTAGTTTACATCCTAGTCCAAGAACTTCTATATCCACTGTTGATGGGCTTGAAACTTGTGCTGCATATAATTTGTACAAAATGTATGAATTTTTTAATTCTTTAGTGCTTGTGAGCAGTTCTACCATAAAGTAGTGTATACATTTCCTTAAAAATTACCTAAGGGAATTGGATGTAACACTCCTATTCATTTAGACAATATATTTATTGACATAAGTGGACTTACCAGAATCGACACCCCACGAAATGCCGCTGAAAGACGGGTCTGTTTCGAAAAGCTCGATAATTTTGGCTGTGGTAGCCTTTGGAGAATCTGGTTTATTTCCACACCTGATCTTCTTTCTAGCAGTGGTACATTTGCTGTGTTCTTTCTTTGCTCCACTCACCATTCCTCTCCACTTATCTTTCACTTCCATGACAGATCTTTTGGAAAATCCGAGCGCATTGACTTTGTCAGTTATTACCTCCCATACCCGACTCTCGTGTTTGTTAGAAAGTGTCGTGGAAATTTTACTCTTGACTGTTTTAATATTTTCTTCCGCCTCTTCGAAAATAACTGTCCATTCCGCAGGTGTAAAGTTTGGTTTTCTGGCGCGCTTTGCAGGGGAAGAAGCAACATTTTGTGCCATGTTGTCTCGCCACTAGCACGCGCAAGCCAAAAGATCACGCAACGCCTGAATTATCACGATGGCAACTGCCTGGACAGCGAGTTAGCCTTCGGATAACTATACACCTCGCCATCCGTGCTTTTTGCAACAGCTTTTTATCCCCTGGATAGCCATCTTATACATCGCATAAACTTATCCAGTGGATAAATTTATCCATCCTTTGAACAACGGGATGTTTGATGTTTGCTTTGATGTTATTTTGTAGAGGTAGAACGGTTACATTAAGATCGGCACTCATGAAAGGACTAGTGCCCGCGACTCATAGCGAGGACTAGGTCCCTCCAATTAAACTGCCGTCTAAATTTTTCATCAGATGGTCTAGTCGCAGGGTCCAAAATATAGTTCTTGCGACTTGTCCCACGAATTTGAACTGGTTTGAATTCGTGAGAGAAGTCGCAAGAACTTGTCTCGCCAAATTTTCCAGGTTCCTACGTGTGAACTGTTCGTGGGACAAGTCCTTGCGACTAAATGAAACAATCCAATCACTTCAAAAGAGAAATATAACAATGGAGATGACCGCTTAGTAAGGGTAAGAATTACAATGATAGAGGGGAAAATTTTTGAGACTTTGGTGACCGATCGCTTAATACAGGGTTACCGCTTAATACGGTGTCGTTTAATACAGATTCGACGGTTTTTCAAATTTGGTTAAAACTACTTTGTAATCAAAGACAGTTAATTTTCACAAATTTCTCAGCTAGTAGTACAATGTTTGTGATGGGTGGATAGCGATATAAAAACCAGTCGGAATTTTGAGACGCCAATACCGCTTTACATTGGCGGTTAGCTAATTGGGAGAAAATACTTTGTCCCATTTAGCTTCGTCGCTATACAACTCTTCCCAATACTACAATATATTTCACCTCGACTAGCCACCAATACAATTCAATAATGGCGTCTCAAAATCGCGATTTTTATTAGATTTCATCCTTCTCTTTGCGATGAACTAATATTTTCTACCATAGGAATAAATATTTTTATTATCCGCAGGTTTAAAAGTTCAAAACGGGGTGACTTTAAACGGAACCAAAATGATCTTAACAGGGAGAGGCAAAGTTACCACTTTTTTTATTTTTATCCTTGGTTTGACCACCTTTCTCTCGTACGCCTCATACCAAGCGAAGTTCGGACAAGAAATTAGCCAACCCACTCACAGCAAAAGAACAATTGGTAAGTCAACGAGTTAGAAATGATTTACAGCATTAGATGCTCATCACATGAATTATGCCGTTAAAGCCTAAATTAAGACGCAGGCAAATATTTAGGAAAATAAAAGTAACATAACTTAGTTTGAACAAGGGAAATAACAACACTTCCAAAAGCTTAAGAGGCTTAGTTACTTCGTGTTGTCCCGTTCACCAGAAATTAGCCCTTCGCAGTGTAATGCTATCGCAGATTCAAGATAACAAACTGGAAATCCTTTAAATTAGTTTCCAAAATTGACTAAGTACAATGATCATCCTGGGTGATGATGGATAATTACCGTAGAGAACACGCCCCTCATCACTTAGTCTTGGCTATTCCGGTGTATAGGGTTTCATATCGCTCTGACGCTCTGTCAGTTTCGAGCTAGTCAACGCTTTCTCGCCCACACCACCACCCTTAAAGGTTTAGTTTATTGATCTCTAGCGACGTTCTCGAGCGGTTAATGTCTCCTTTCAGTTGGAGAAGCATAACCAATTCAACAGCATAAGCAAATTAAAGCGCAACTACCGGCATTACGAGTCTCCAATGCATGCATGACAACAAAGATGAAATTGAATACCAAATGCGTATTCGCGTATTCGCATCTCTGGCTGAGACTGGAATATTTTTTCAACACCCTGGGAGGGATAATATCGCATCCTGTAGCTCTCCTGATGTTAAATGACTTTAGTGATTCCGGCTTAAACTTTAGTTTCACTTACTGAGCTGAAGTTGAAAAATTCATTGAGAGAGATATTCTTTTTGATGAACTGGAAAGGAACACAAGCGTGATCATTCAGGTCGCTCACAGCCGGTGCGCTTATGCTAAAAGAATGCCTACTTAGGATATCTGCAATCTCGTTGTGTTTTTAAATAATGGTTTTGCCTTCAGTTAATTGAATAGTTTCGGACATTGCTCGGCGAAGTATCCATTGATCTTCTCAGGCTAACAACGCGATTTCCCTATTGCCGACACTTTTCCCAATCGCTTCGATCTTTCATGATATAATACTTGCTCTTAAATTGATTTCGAAAGTGAACAGCGGCTATCTAGTCAGGAAGCACTGTCACGAAGGGCGCTCATTTTTCATTTTCGCTAAACATTTTGAGTAGAAGCAGGCAACATAGCTTAAAATCTTCGTCTTGCCACCCTGATTAAGAATCGTGCTGTTGCCCACTCCAAATGTTATGATATCTGTCATTAAGCGGGTTTTTTGTCTAGGCCCTCGCTCCTGCAGCATGAAAACTAGGCTGAACTATAACATTTATATAAACCCAATAAAAAGTGCACAATAGGATGGGGAAATAGCTGAATCTTTGCTACTTGACGTTTAGAGCTTGATAGACAGTAGTGTGGGTGATAAAATGCGTCACGTGATCAGTTATGAAGAGTCACGTGACTTTCCAATAAAATCGGTTTTAAAGCATAAAAGACGCTCTATTCACACTTTCCTTTAATATAGTTTTCAACTTACTGACGTTTCTCATTTCGATTTACATATCCAACAATAAAAACACAAAAATGCAACGGGTGATCAGATATGATTGGTCACGTGACTAGATAACAACCATTGAATAGATACTGAATTAGCCTTAGAAGGAGAAGAGAAGAGGAAGTCGCTTCTGGCATTTCATGCAATTACTGGCTGTGATACGACAAGCCAGTTCTATGGTGTGGTCAAGGCATCGGCATGGAAAGTCTTCGAAGATGCACCTGATCTCTTGGAACACCTTGGAGAAGAAAGCCAAATCAGTGCTGACGTTCTTGCCAAAGCTGAAGCCTTTGTATGTAAACTCTACAATCCGGGAACACAAGAAGTGGAAATCAATAAAGAAAGAGCAGCAGCGTTTCGCAAATCCAAGAAAGATCTTGACGCCCTACCTCCGACTCAAGATGCACTGATTCTCCACATAAAGCGGACAAACTATCAGACCATGGTATGGAATAAAGCACTGGAACCATGTCCTTCTCTCCCAAAACCTGAAGACAGCGGATGGTACTACAGTAAAGGCCTTCTGAAGCCAAAGTTAATGACGCGAGAAGAAGTGTCAGCGGCGTGTTTACAGTTAGCATACTGTGGGTGCTCCCGAGAAGGCGGATGCTATGTAAACCGACGCTGCACTTGCGTTCAACTATCTCTTTGCTGTTCCAAGGCATGTAAATGTGGCGACAGGTGCAGAAACGACAGGAACACTGCCGGAGAGGCGAATGAAGCATGACCTATAACTTTGATAAGGTGGAAGTCACATGGTGGTCTTGTGTAATATAAGATACTTTGCTTATGGTTTATAAGCTTGTATTTCTGGCTTAAACCGTGCGGCCAAGTAGAAGAAAGTTCAGTCTTTTTACATGAAAAATGCTAACTCATAGGAAATGTTACATAGGTTGGAAACGCTATAGAATGACTGAAAATAGAATGATTTCATTACATCACGTGACCCATCATAGCTGATCACCCGTTGCATTTTTGTGTTTTTATTGTTGGATGTGTAAATCGAAGTGAGAAACGTCAGTAAGTTGAAAACTATATTAAAGGAAGGTGTGAATAGAGCGTCTTTTATGCTTTAAAACCGATTTAATTGAAAAGTCACGTGACTCTTCATAACTAGTCACGTGACGCATTTTATCTCCCACACTACTGTCTATCGAGCTCTAAATGTCAAGTAGCAAAGATTCAGCTATTTCCCCATCGTATCGTGCACTTTTTATTGGGTTTATATAAATGTTACAGTTCAGCCTCGTTTTCATGCTGCAGGAGCGAGGGCCTAGACAAAAAACCCGCTTAATGACAGATATCATAACATTTGGAGTGGGCAACAGCACGATTCTTAATCAGGGTGGCAAGTCGAAGATTTTAAGCTATGTCGCCTGCTTCTACTCAAAATGTTTAGCGAAAATCGTTTTTTGGCGAGCTGCCTCCTGACTAATCACTCCAGAGTTAAAGCAGGGCGGTTATAGTTTCGTGCTTTTCTTCTTTACCAAGGAAGCATGATCATCAAGCACGTCTTTTTAGCAGTTTTTCTCATGCGCAGTACACATCACTAATGTCTTAAAGGTGCTTGCAACAGCGAAACGAATTAAAAAACATCGTTGTATCTTACAGAATTGAATTTCTCAAAGTTTCTTCTCATAAAAGTCTTGGGACCCCTTTTGGGGCACGCAGCTCTCGTAATTGCACATACCAGATGATTATCAGTAATATCTGGGTTGAAAACACTTTCGTGCAAGGATTTAATTCTTTTGAATGTTAGAATTACGTCAATTAGAGTTTGGCTATTCGCCGTAACTCTAGTTGGCGTACTAACAAGCCTTTTAGATTGTATATTGTAAACGTAGTATAGGTTTAGCAGATGTCTCCCCAACTTTGCCGTTCCTTGTCGGGTTCCAAAATGTTACCATTCACGTCTCTAATTAGAGTGTAATTGTCCGAAAGCCTGCTGATCAATTCAATTGGTCTTTCCCGTTCGGATGACCAGATTTCTTTGGCCATTTTGAACGGTCTGTAAAGACGAATCCAAAGTAGATGTCTATGAATCCTTTTGAATTCTGACCTCAGTGTTTATTTATTCTAAACCAACGAACTGTTGTGGCATTTTTAATTATAACGCGCTTTGTTTAAAGGTCGCACCCTGCATATATTATGAGGCCACCTTTGTAATTTGTTCTATCTTGTCGATTTGGCTTGGATCCTTTAGCATAGAACCGGCTTTCTGGATAGCTGTCATCGATTTTGGAGTCCGAGAGAACTAGAATATCTGACAAATTGTTTATCAGCATGTTCTTAACCTCGAAGAGCTTGATTCCGCAGACGCTGTTTGTTTTTCTGTGAAATAATCGAAATAAACTAGCTCGAAAGTGCTTTCTAGGAAAAGAAACCATCTCAAAAACGTCGCTCATCGTAATTGGTCTTATTTCACGCGTCCCCAAATCGATTTTTTTTATACCCTTTTTCTTCTTTTCTAAGTAAGGTGATCATTCTTGAAGTTCTTTTCATTGGAAAGATCCCCAATCATTATAACAACGTGAAAAGCTTAATAATTGACTATTTCCGAAGTTCTACACTGAATCAATTTCCCTCTCTAATATTAAATTAAATAATTCTGGATAGTCAAACTTGATTGCGAGTACTTCAAAACAAACGACATGTTGTTTATCGTAGATGAGATCGTCTGTCGAAAGGTTGTTCCAACTCAAGCCACAGCCACAGCCACAGAAAAACCCACTAATAATTCATTGCCAAAGGTTTTCGTTTATCTCATTCAAACAGAACAATGCCTTCCTTCAAACTTTGCCTCTCCTTCCGAGATCGGCGACCCCGAGACGTGTAAATGTGATGTCATGGTGCTAAGTTATCGTACCAAATGTCAAGTGCAAAAGCCGCCTCACATCACTTATTTGTTCTATCCCAATACTGGATGGGGAACAGGACGAAATGTGCTGTATTTTGCTGCAATTACGAGATCCCCAAAATACCATTATTACATTTTTATGGATGATGATGTGGTACTACATTTCAATTCATTTGCTTCGCCACAAATGAAGAGGCTTCCGCCGTTTAGAGTCTTCGAACATTGGCTCCTAGATTACGAGCCTGTAGTTGGAGTTGTGGATTACAAATTGCATCATGGGGCCATCTGGACCAATAACTTACGCAAGAAAATATGTAACAAGACGGACAGTCCCCTTGTGATACCAACAGTATGGTATGATGCCCTTTTCAATGCATTTCATTACAAATCTATCGAGCATCTCTTCCCTTACCGTACGCAATATCAAAACATAAGCTGGTGGTCATCGCAAAGGTATATGTTTTCTGCTGTGGAACTGATATTTCGAGGCCAGGCATTGATGTTTGTGCCTGTTACTACGGGAAATCCAAAACATCGCCCATACCCAAGGTCTCTAAAGGACGCAAACTGGAGAGATTACATCGATACGATTCGAAAGGAAGCTCCTTTAATTTACAGAAATCGAACTTTATTCGAAGAATTTAGGCAGAATCTTGCAAGTTACGTTATCAACACGAAAACATATTGCATGAATGTAACACGGCATCAACAGATTAAACCATACGCTCATTTTGATTTTAAGACAGAGATGTAGTTGTTGAGGTTAGTGAAGAGGTAAACTATAGTTCCCTATTCTTTCTTATTCTGGGCTCAATCAGTGGATAAGATGCTAAACCCATTCAATTATAAGCCCCTTTGTTTGTTTATAAACTTGTTGAACTGTAACAAAGTTTCAACAAAGTGATGTTCGCGAGGAGAATTAGGACTGAACCGCTAACACATTGGAATCAAACCATTTTTCACTTGGTCGGTTGCATTCAGTTTATTTATTGAGGAAGTATTTCCTGAGCCATATTTTATTCACTATATCTGTGTGTTAGTACTTTCCCTATGACTGGGGAGTGTAACGGGCCTTCTTCTTATTATTATTATATTACTGTTTAGACCTCTAAATAAAAATTTTTATCCTAACCGAAATCACTGCTCTCTGTTTGAATCCAGAGATTTAGTAACCTCGCTTTCTCGATCCGTATTTTCAATAAGTTAGAGAACCTCGTTGAGGGCCATCAGAAAGGGAAAGACTCGAGCCTTAACGAACAGAAGTGAAGGTCAGTAAGAGGTCTATTTCTTCACCAATAAAAAGTGTGCATTAAATTATCGTAACCAATTGCGTTTTGAGATGTCAAAGGGTGAACAAACTTTTCGGGGATTAGACTTTGAACGGTGCCATCGTAAAAACATCGATCGTAGTAACCTGGCCTTAAATTCAATTCATAATCATTATGCAAGCTTCAAAAAGGCTGCTGCTTTGTTCCTCCACAAAAAAAAAAAAAATTGAGTCGAGAATGTCTTTATGAATGAGAAAACAGCAAAGAGACTTTTCATAAATCACGATTAAGCAGCCAGGCTGTCATGCATGATTCGATATGGTTTCGGTCGTTGCCCATTTTTAGTACATATGACAATAAATACCAAAAGTTAGTTTGTCTTAGGAGTGAGGGGGGGACTTAATTATTTTCTGGTGAAAGCGGGAGTTAAATTACTGCCAGTGTGACGTCACTAGCAACAAAACAAGCAAGAAAGACTCTTGAGTGTTAAGCTTGCTGCCTTGTGTTTTGAACTTGTGATCACCGAAAACTCTCTGTAGTTTTTTTCTTCGTGGACTTTGTTATGATATTCTGTATATAGCGCTGGTATATTACTATGCAATATCATATTTCTTATTAGTCTAAATGATTTCGTAATTCAGGCAACGGGCTGGGATGTATTTTTAAACGGTTTCTCCCCATGTATCTGTCTTTATTCATAATAAAGTTCGAATACATAACACACATGTCATTGGTTGAAAGAGCGTGCTCTATCAAAGTACAAAGCATAGAACTGAGCTAAAGCTGTCACGCCATCCTCCAAATGGTAATATGTTTGACCTTTTTCAGGACTTCTTTCAAGCTTTTCGTTAATTGAAAGTGAAATTTCGTAACAAGCGAGAAGGCAAGTAGCAACAGAAAAAACAAACAAATGTTTATAAACATGTCAAGCGCCGTAATTAACCTTATTATAACGTAAGCAGAGACGAAAATTCCTTAAAGAGAAAACTAAAGGACAGTCCGATTTTGAAGGTTTTCACGCTCGGTCAGATAGCAAGCTTAGGTACGATAATAAAAATCAAACACAGCTAAATTCTCGCATAGTACATACAGTTTCGTATTCGAAAATATAACAGAACAAAACAGCAATGATGAAAAATATAGCTAAACTGGCATAGCTATTAAAATTCATTTTTATCATGACGGTGTCAGAGCGACTGCGATCATACTGAGGTCCATTGTGGCTAGCTCATCATTTCAATCTCCGGTCATCGCAGTCAAGAAAGCCTCAGAAATTACATCGGCCGCCCTTCGAGTGAACAACTAAGAGCTTACACTGATATCCTTTCTGATGCGTTGTGTGGAAGGCCACCTTAGTCACAGCAGGTAAGTTTTACGGCGCTGTCATCTCAAGTAATCTTTATTTTCGTGTGAATTCGGCTGTCGCTCATTCATAAAACACACGCCTTGAGCAGTTTGTTTTCCAACTGTCATGAAAAAACTTGCGTGTTTTTATGAGCCACAATTTTGCTGGATTTCATTGAACATTTCAATTTCAGATTCTGTTTAAGAGACTAAAGAACTTCAGGCAAACGTGTTAAATTCCACCAGATTGTGAACTTTGATGGTTTGTGAACTTTAATGGTTCGACATTTTTGACAGTTTTAGATTTAGTCTTCTTCAACCAATCAGATTATTTGAACCATTCTCACAAGGATTCTGATGGCTTAATGTGGCGTTCGCTTTGAAAGTAAATTTTGTTTCGAAAAGTGAAAGTAATGCATGGGTAATTTAACGGATTCTTTATTATAAAACAAACAGAAAAGCCTTGACTGTGCTCTGGTTAGTTTTGAAGCACTAAGAAAGCGGTTAGAGTACTCAAAAAGTGGGGAGAAACACTACGTCTTCCTACGCTTTTTTCGTGCTCTGGCCGCTTCCTGAGTGCTTTACAACAAAACAGAGCACAGTCAAGGGTTATCTATTTGTTAATAACCATTTTTTCGATGACCGCCATATCTATTCATATTGTAATATGAGACCTTTCTTTCGCTTTCTTAAGCTTGTAAAATCTTCCAAATTTTTTCTACATTCCTTTGAAGGCTTATGAGGAAAAAGGAACTTTTTCTTTTAGGGTATTTTTAAAACAGAGTGTTTCTCAATCAAAATTTGTATGTAACTAAGGTACCCACTCTGTCATTGTATTTTCTTTAATAATACTACAAAGTAGGGTTTGTTTTTAAAGCATCGACCAGTCAAACCTTTTGTTTTGTTTAAGCCTTCATTTGCATTTCTATTAACTGAACTTTCTATCTACCTATCTATCTATCTATCTATCTATCTATCTACGATATCGAAATTGTGTAAGCTTGCGTTGCTTGACGGTTTGCGGTATTCCTCTACAAGCATGAGAGCGAGGCAACCGTGAAAACGAGGCGGCTGATAAGAAAACAAATAACTTGGTTTGCTCCTCGTAAGTCTCTTCGCTCTCTGCTTCTCGTGGTACGAAGCTTGATTGAAAATCATGAAGAATTGCTCTCCTCCTAGAATGCTCAAAGTACTTACAAACGCACATCATTCGCGGTAGACCTGCATTCAATCAATGAGGTTTAATACATCATCTTACCTTTACATTACCTTGAATCCTGCATAGATTTAATCAACCTATACCTTCAAGGATTTAAGCTCGGTTAATGTTTATGCTGTTATGATATGTATGATTAATGATTGGATCAACAAGTTAATCGAAATTTATGTAGATAAAAAAAACCCTGCACAAATATGAGTAAACTGTACCATCAAGCATTTAAGCTCGTGATGTTTATGCTGTAATCATATGTATAGTTAATGATTGAACTCGTTATCAACATCTTATTTCAAATTTATATAGATAAGAAAATCCTTCACAAATATAAGTAAACTGTAGCATCAAGCATTTAAACTCATTTAATGTTTCTTCTTTTATAATAATCATTTTCAGCGTTTCAATAAAGCTTGAACTATTCATTTGTTGATTGACCATTTCACCTTTATTTCATTTTCAACCTAGGGTATCCCCAACGTTTTATCCAGGGTTTTTGTGATTATTAGGATTCCTAGAAAACATTTAGCATGTGCAATACTGGGGCGAATTTAGTTTTACAAGGATATGGGAGACCTCGAAACAAACTTAGTATACAGGATATTTGGCTATCTTTGCAAATTCACCTAATGAACCCTTGATTTTCATTTCCTTTAAATTAGCATAGTAGTAGATCCTAATGTTCATCGGAAGAGGGTAAAAGGTGTGCCATGTCCGGAAACAAATGTGAAAAAAGCAATGGATGTGCATGTGTACGAAGGTAAACTTGCCAATTTTGGTATATTGTTGCAGATAGATAATATGTTTTAAACATTTCATTTGTATTTGATAACAAAGGCCACATTCGCTTTCTACAAGCTTAAATTTTGGGAGGTATGCTCAAACGCTCAAAGCCTTATCCTCAAACGCTTGAGATACGCTCAGTGCTCTCGGCAAATGGAGTCTCTTGGATTTCTTTTAGGTGTTTGATATTTAAACGCCCAAGATCTAATTTATAATTCTCTTTACTTTCTGCCATACAATTTTTATGATGCTGTTTCTGAGAAATTGGCGTTGGATAATCTAGAAAATCCTTAAAGTTATAATTTTTTATCCTCATCACCTGCCTGATTTATATTTTTAAGAGAAATTTTGCTTTCGTCACTCATGGGAGTTAAAGGGTTTAGTGATTGTTTTCATTTATAAGGTCCTTATGCAAGGTCCTTATGGTCCTTTCTGTGTCACACATAAGTAACCTAAGACTTGATATGAGAATTTCAGCTTCATTTTGCTCATGTTTCCTTAGTGCTTGCTGCGATCAGTCCTGCCACACTATTCCATGTGACTTTATGTTCCAAAGTAATAGTGATGGACAAAGCTTTGATACAGGCTCAAAATACTCATTAGAAATACCTCGATTATATTTTTGGTTTAGATCGAAAACGACCCTGTTAACTTACGATTATTCGAAGCGCTTTATATCCGAAGGTAAAAGCCAGAACTTTTAAGACTTCCGGGAAGAATGTATTGAGCTATGAGACCTTTTATTCTAAACTAGACTACTTAGATCTTTTGTTCTCGCTAAAACTCATCGGCAATTTTCTATGTTATAGTGTGTTACCATCGTTGATAAGACATGTATGTGACTCTTAAACTCAGTGATCAGTAGCAACTGTCTTTAATGACCAGAGAAAGGAACAAGTAACACAAGATTCATATATCCTAACTTCTCCCTTCTTTTGGAGTAAGCTTACTTCGAAAACAAAACATAAACATAACCGGTAGTCAGAGTCTCTAAAATGAATGCTTAGAGTTCTATTGAGCTGAAGTCAATTTTCACTCGGCCAATTACACAAAAAAGTCACTGAACTTCGAGGGTGGCTTTAGAGCTTTTGCTCGAGTATTCTTCACTGGAACAGATTTTGGGGTCGATATTTGCTTCGCTTCATGATTAGCTGGTATAAAAGCCTGCTTTAAAGGCTGGCTTTCATTCTTTATAAAGACTGGCTGTCACTGCCTTCAACTGGCTTGGGTTGTTCAGCTGGTCGTTCAGCTTGCTTCAGAAATTCCCGATTTCTATGGAGCATTTTATTGTCTAAACCGGATTTTACTACATGGGACATGTCGAATTGCTTCTCGATACAGGCACCCATCTACTGCTAGGGTATAGGAGGAGCGATCGTGGCACCATTTGGCCTTTTGCCTTTTCAATTTCAGCTTTGAA